GTAGGAAAATTAGTTTGGGCTTTTTTTTTCCTTTTTTTGGAAACCTTTTTTCGAGGACCTTGGCGGGGGTGTGGGGTTTTTTTTTTTCCTTTTCCCTTTCCCCCGCCCCCTCCCTGGTTTTTTTACGTTTTAGCCCGGAAGTTGGGGGGGGGGGGGGGGGTGGGGTCGTGGTTCGTGCCGAAATGTGGTTATGATTTTCAGTATGCCAAAGGGTCGTTCACCCGTCAGCGCTGAGACTCAGGAGCACACACGACCGTGTTGTGTCTCATTTCACTGTCACGAGAGGTTCGGCGTCGTCTCGATGCCCGTGGCCGCGTGGCGAGTTCGTTGCCTTGGATCGAAAAATTCGAAATTGAGGCGTCGCCTTTGCGGTGCAAAATAGGCGGGGTGAAATTGAAGAAGGCTACAGTAGTAGAGGAGTGAATCGTTTCGTTTATTTTTCACCACTTTTTGTTCCGAATCTTAATCGTAGCGTCATGTTGGTGAGAGCGTCACGAAAACACAAGTCACGTTATTGCCGTTTTTATTTCCGCGCCACTTATCGTCGGCCGCGTTTTCTCTGGTGGACAATGTTACCAAAACGACGTACAGGGTGGCGACTACCCTGGCGGGCGCTTTCGGCTTCGCTATCGTCACATGGACCAGGTGCGCGCGTTCGTGGCCACTTCTGATAGTTTGTTCGCCTGCGTTTGTCATACTGCATGCACGAAGTATGTGTTACGTGTTTGTGTCTCCCTTCTCTGTGGTGGTCTCTTCGCTCATTCAGTCGCTCTCATAAGGTCTACCATCTACTACGATGTTTCCCTCTTGTTGAGATATCGAATCAAATCAGGCTAATGCCACACAAGACCCCCGGCATATCTTGGTTGTCGTAAATCCCCTGTATTCTCAAAATTGTTACAGAAAAAAGAAGGAAAAACGGAGAAACGCCTATGATTGTGCACGAAAGGGGCTGGTGCCGGGCTATAGACGGTAGAAACAGGCGGATGATGGCGCGAAAGCAGAGAAGAAGTTCTCGGTTGCTTGCGGCACCTAGGGCAAGACTCGGCATCATCCTGCGAGGCCTTCTTTGGCGGGTATTTTCCTTTGAAAACCGGCGGTCTGTTTTTCCAGTAGCTTTCCAGCTTTGGCTTTACCCTGTGACTGCGGAAAATGCGTTTGTTTTTTGTGCCGCACGACCAGCAGGGGTGGTGTGGGAGGGACTGTTTTTTTTCTTCGTTGAAAGACAAAACGACAACATCAGCAGCAGCAAATACGCCGCTCGCTCGCTCGCCTTCTTGCTGAAAGTAGTCCCTGATTGTGTAAACCTGCTGCACGGCAGTGAAAGGCAAGCGGTTCGATTGCGATATTCTACTTATTCACTGTCCAATACACGTGCCTGCTGAGGGCAGAGCTGCCCCAAGCCCGCCCCTGATTCCGCCGCATACGAAACAGTACGAAATTTAGTACCATGGTACACGTACGTCCTCGGTGTTGTTCCTCTATGCTCAGTTGCACGTCGTCCTGACTATTCTACGCGTAAATCCGGTTATCGCCACAGCTGTGTATGTTTTCTACAAAACGTGGAAATGGAGTAACTAACTGTTTGGAACATCTTTGCCATCAATGTGTTGCGAAACGCCATATATTTCGCAGGAGAGTGGGGCAGGGCTACCTTCGCAGCGTGTGCGGTTCGGCCTTGTCGCCGGCGATGCACAGGCTGGTCGTCAGGCCCGCCAGGGTGAGAGAGAGAGAGAGAGACCACGAAGAACACCGCAGGGTTTGAGTCCGATGGTGCTTATATCTTCAGATCAGGATTGTACCGTTTACCGCCGAGTATATTTTCTTGGGCAAAACCTCTTCTCTCTCTCTTTCTCTTTCTCTCTCTCTGTCTCTGTCTCTGTTTCTCAATCTCTGTCTCTGTCTCTGTCTCTGTCTCTGTCTGTCTCTGTCTGTGTCTGTCTTTGGCTTTATCTCTTGTCTGTCTTTGTCTTTGTCTCTGTCTCTGTCTCTGTCTGTGTCTGTGTCTGTGTCTCTGTCTATCTCTCTCTCCCCCCCCCCCCCACCCCCAATCTGTCGCTCTCCTCTCTCCTCTCTCGGAATCTAACCCTAAAACCCCAACCTTAACCCTAAAACCCTAACCCTAACCCAAACCCTAACCCTGACCCTATCCCTCCCCAGGCGGTGGCCTCGGTAGCCGGCATGGGGGACGGCTGGGACCTCGGGCTCACCGACGAACAGCGCAAGGCTAGGCGGCCGTCGATCGAGCTCCGGAGGAGCCTGTCCACCTTCAAGGACCCGGACTTTCACGGCGACGGCGGCATCGGCGACTCCGGCGGGGCTGCTTTCCCGCAGGCGCCTCCGCCGGCGGCGGCCGCTGGTGTGGATGATGGAGCCCCCCCGGACCTGAAGCGGAGCTCGTGAAATGGAGGCTTTGGGTGCGGTATACGCCGCCGGGTGGTGTGGGACGGGGCAAATGGTAGCGGCAACCGCCAGCAGCAAAACCGGCACCAGCGCCAGCGCCAGCTGCAGCTGCAGGGACATCAGTAGAGGTCGGCCTGTAGCGGACTTGGGCTTTCGGCAAAGGTGGGGTACTACCGGGTGGTGTTGGCGGTGGCAGGACCTCCGGCAATATGGTAGCGGCAACCGCCGGCAATAGCACCAGCAGAAGGACATCAGTAGAGGCCGGCCTGTAGCGGACTTTGCCCGGAAAATGTGCACGTGTTTGCCCCTACAGGCCCCTTTATGCTTCGCGCAAATGACAGCAGCAGCAGCAGCAGCAGTAGCAGCGGGTAGTCTTTCCCAGCCGTACAGGGGGCTCCGCGGAATGCTGGCAACAAGCTAAAGCTGACTGCAGAAAACGAACAACGACGATACGAGGCACCTGGCAGACTGTCGTCGTTTTTCTCTCTGTTTGTTGTTTGCTTACCAAGATAAGGGCCGTCGTCTCTGTTGAAGGCGTTTGCGGACACGACGCCGACTTGTATTTAGTTTGTTTTGTTTGTCTTTGTGAACAAAGGGGGGAGGGGAGGAGCGGATAAATCTGTTTGTGAGCTTGGCGCCAAGCCTGTGTCAGGGGGCAACCCTACAGAGGGGGGCGTGCTTACCTACCGGGCATTGTGGCTTTGATTCCGCAGGATGAGCCGCGTCTCCTGTCGGTCGGCACTGCTATTTGTACCACGGTCGAGCCATGCTTGGCGAGGATTTTTTTTTTGTGTAGATGGTGGGGTTTGGACAAGCACTCTTCGACGGGCTTGACTCCCGGTCGGTGTATCGCGCGGTTACCGAAGGGCAAACTGCAACAAAGTCAGACGCCGTTCGGTGACAGAAAACACGAGAGAGAGAGAGACAGAGAGAGAGATCTCTGCAACAATTGAATTCACGATGGCGGTTATTTATTGGGTCTGGCATGTGCAAAGGGCACCTTCGTCGCCTCCCCCTCCCCCCCCGCTGTTTAACCGAAATGGCGTTGAACCGTTGGTTGCTCGGCCTGTGAGTTGTGCGATAGCGTTATTGTTCTCGTCCTTTGGATGGAGCGGTGTTGCTGTCTCCGCATTGATTGGTTGGTTTTTCGTAGTTGGCGGGAGGCTCTCATCTGTTGGTCGTGTAACTGCATACAGCTGACCACGGCATCGCTTTGCTCGTGCTCGTGTATGCGTAGAACTTGACACTTTAAGCCGGGATATGGCTTCGCTGCAGTCGAAGTCCAGTCCCCGCATTGACCCGAGAGAGTCTTCGTTTGGCTATGCATACGTCCGGTCATGATCAAAAGGGCAGGTCCTCGTTATTCAATTAGTTTTTTATTGCGAAATCGCCTTCTTCGTGTTCACACCAGAGGGGGGCTTTCGTTTTAGGGAAAAAGGAGGTTGGATCTTCATGTGTGGCTTCGGTTCTCACGTTGCTAGACGCGCATAGACGAGCCTTGCGCGATGGGACGGCGACATTGTGGCAAACAATTGGGCGACATGGCATCGCCGTCCAGCTAGATAGCGTAGAACTTGGAACAAGTTTTAGTTCAGCGGGTGTTCTTGAAAGCTTCAGTTGTTTCGAAACCTGGCTGGTGGGTCGAACATATTCCGAAACTTTTATTAGGCAGAAATAGATGGGCGAAACACAAACAGGAGAAGACCAATCACAAATTTGGTGCTCCCGTGTCAGGCCTTGCAGAATGATGAGCCGGACGCAACCTTCTTCCAAGTATCATCTGCAAGCGATTCAGTTACCTGCATCCCGTGAGGCGCGGTGTCCTTCGGAACTCTCCACGACTTATGTTATCCCTCCACCGTCCCCGTTTTTTTTGTAAACTTGTTCCTGTTTCAAGGCGAGACGAACAACTGCTACGGTCGAGTGTTAAAGCTCGTCTCTTTGATCTCTTGTCTTGCTGTACTCCGACAGGAGAATGAGTTCATCATCGTTAAGACGTGCTTCGAAAAATTAAGTCGCGAAATGGTACTCGAAACAGAGCTAGCTCAAAACGCGACGCAACTCTCGTTGGGGCTCACGTACACACATGCCTCGAGCGTGCGCTTGTCCTAGATCGACAGCGGGTCGATTGTGGCCGCAACTCAGAGGAGCAAATAGCCAACAAAAAAAAACTGCGCTTCGAAGCCCCCAAACAACTGAAAAGGCAACAAACGGCCAAGCTAGAAATTACCCGCGTCCCGCGCCCGCTGGCAGGCGTCCTACACGAGCAGGGCCGCAAGACAAGCCATCATCTTCTCAGCAGCGCTACTCCACGACGAAGAAAAATCTGAAGGGATAGTTATTGTGCCCGCGCATCTCGAGCACAAACGTTCCTGCTGCAGCTGCTGCTGCTGCTGCTGCTCCCGCATCGTGATGTGGCGTTTCCTTGAGTTGCGCCTGCACTCGAACCCGCCCCCCTCCCCCTAAAGATGGCAAATGTCGATCATCTGCCCTACGCCGAGGTTGCCCCAGCCTCCTTCAAACTGGCCACCGGCACTGCGCAGAGACAGACGAGCGAATCAAACCAACGTAAAATCAGAAGAACAGAAACACAAGTAAGGGTGGAATCAGAGCAACACAACAATCGAGGTCGAACGGAAGTCATTCCAATAAGAGAAAGCGTTCACGGGGGGTTCGCGGGCGGGTCACAAACTCCTCCTCCTGCTCATTCCCTTGCGACAAGTTGGCTGGGTCGTTCTACGAATGAAAAAAAAAGGATAAGAGTCGGGTTCTACCGAGTGCATGGCAAAGGTACGTGCTGAGGCACCCCCCCCCCCCCCTCTCAAAGCAGACTTTCCCGTGAGCCCGATGATGGGGGTAGTATGCACAAGATTTTTGAGTTTGAGATGCGTGGGCCGGGCATGCCAATCGTTCTGCACGACATCCGTAAGGAAATACGGTGCTTGCAACCTTAAGTCATGCCCGACCCAGTCTCCTGCCGTCTCCCTCTTCTCTCCTCCCCGCCGTCGCCTCCATGGTCTAACCGCTAAGGGAGGCAAAACATGAGTATGTCCCGCCCCCCCTCTTAGCAGGATGCAGCGCACTCTCCATGCGACTCCCCGAATATCTCACGGCGCCAAATTCGCGCTTGGTGATGTGAGAGCCTGGTCCGGTGAGAACCCGGCGTGCTCCGTCCCGGCTTTGAAGGGATGCGAAGTCAATCAATGGTCTACAATAACGACTACGGCATTCATGACTATGATACACCCCCCCCCGCGCGCGCTCCACGACGCACACGCAAAATTTCTGTGAGATTATGTTTACTTTCTAAAAAAAACAATTTCCTCTACACCTGCCCGGCATAACATATAGATAGTCCGATGCACAAGATGGCCACTGAGCTATCTTGTTGAGCCTGCTACCCACAGGAAATACATCGCTGAATTGGGAATCGTGGTAGCACAGGTACCACCCGGCAAACGCTAGAATTTATTACCATTTTATCCTAGACCCTTGTGTATGGACAGAGCTGGATTTGTCGTGATATTTTAAGAAAAAAGAAAAAGAAACACTCACGTTTGCCCTGCGGCTGGCCGCCGACGAAGACGTTGCGGTTGTACCCCACCGCTTCCCGCGCCAAGGCCGTGCTGCGGGCGGGCTCCTTGAGGGCGCCGCGCATGACCGTGGTTGCCTTGCTGGCGTACTGCGGCGGGACAAAAAAATCGAGGCAATGGTGTCGCGGAGAGAAGAGGAGTTGGCATGGTATATAATAGTTGATGCTCTGATCGAGGTAGGGGAGGTTGAGGTCTGGTGGGGGTAGCGTAGGGCGTTAGTGTGTAGAGGCACACGTAGGGATGCGGACCGACTTCGCGAGATTAACAAGTTTATGAGGACACAAAACAGGGAGGGGAGACGCAGACCCTTTTCCCTAACCCCTTCCCCCCGAGTGTATGCTTTATCCAATACATATGTTTACTTAATCGAATTGAGAGGTCCGAGGAGGGGGGGAGGAGGGTGGCGTCTAGATGCAAATGTACAGCAGTAAACGGTTTTATGTCTCAAGTCGTTTCTGTTCCGGGTGCCAAGTCTTTTCGTACGGCTGGCCTTGGACGAAGGGAGAGCGTGTAAATGCCAAGGGAGGGGAAGAAGGGCAGGGTTCGGATCGCTCTCCACCTAATACCTGTTGTACCCAAGTTGACGCCCCGCTGGTTTGGGTGAAAACACTATACTATTTCCTGTCGCAAATACAATGTAACTCATTGTGTGCATGTCTGTAGGAATCCTCTTGAATCCACCTCTGGACATGGACGGCACAACACTGTCCTGTCACAGCCACACCCGATGAGCAGCAAAACTCCATCTCACGCATTTTCACGACGGCTACTATAATAAGGTAGACTGCTGTAGGTTTCGTCGACCGCCGCTGGCCGCTGGCAGAGCAGAACACACGGAATGCACACGGAAAGAGAGGCTTCGTGCAAGATGCAAAGCAGAGGCCCGCTTGTGGCGTTTAAGGGCAGGAGGCGGGTGCGATTGGGAGTGTCTTGCCTTTGGCCCGACACGATCCGGAACGGGTCTAGGCTCTCTTGCGTAACCCATACCACGAACAGCTTGCAAGCCCACCGTTGATCAAGGATTGGCAACAGATCGGGAAAATGCCTATTATACTACATCGAGAGGGCAGAAATTGCAACATCAGGTTCGCAGTGATGCAATGCTACCAAGCTGATAAGGGGGTATTCGCGGGTAAATATTAGAGAGAGATGGGCGCAACACCGATGCAACCACGAGTTCTTTCTCTTGGTGCGCCATTTGAGAGTCGCCGCCTCTCCTGTTCGGCCCCCAACCGCCATGCTGCTGCCCTGCTGATTTAGTGGGTGCGGCGAGTTCTGCGACACTGCTCCGTGCGTGCAGAAACGTTCCTGTTCTTGCGCGTTTCGATCAAGCTTTCTCTGCTTGCTTTGGTCTCCTCACCTCAAGGTACGTCATGCCCGCCAACCGCCAGAAAGTCGTCGCCTGAGACATGGTGCTCTTCCCTTTCTTTGCTTTGCCCCAGCCTGCTCTCTGTCTTGAGTTGGTCAAACCGGACCGGACCCACCAGCCGCGAAGAGAGCAGAGCCGGGGGCAACGCACAAAATATCTACCCCCCCGAGCAGATCCCAAAAATATCCGGGGGTCCCGGTCCTGTTGTGGCTTGGCCAATCCAGCTCGAACACGAGGCAGACCTTCTTTCGCGTGAGAGTCGCGTTACTGCTGTGCCGAGAAGCCATTGGGAGAAAGAGTCAGTGAAGTCATTGCAACAAGTATGAGGTGTTCTCTTGGACGGGTCGGCCTGGCGGCGACAGCGGCAGCAGTTGTTGTGTGCGTGCGAGGAGGGGATGCGGATCCAGCAGCTGAGGCGGCGACTGTTGCGGCCCGCACGCAGGGGTCTTCCTCAGCAGCAGCGTCTCCGGCTGAGTCGCTGTTCGAGAGCGCGAAGGCCGTGCTGGAGTGCCATGTGTGCAAGGTGAGAAGGGCGGGAGAGAGTAGGCGTCGCCGTCGAGGCAGGTCGCATCGCCTCGTGTCTACTGAGTAGACTGCGCTGGGGAAGGCTCGGTCTTCTCAGCTTCCTCACCTTCGACTCACAATGTGGTTCATGTACAGCAGTAGTTTTGAGCCTTGCGATAGCGCTGGTGTGTCCTCCCAAGCTCCCCCCGGCAACTATTTAGTACGCTACGCCTGCCCGATTTTCCCTCTCTCTTTCACACGGCAGCTCTTTTGCAGGGCGACATGCGGTTCCTGGGCTTAGTAGGGTTATATAAGAACACGCACGTTTTCAACAGTCGTCTTGAGGATTGTTCTGCATTGACGTCTCGCCGACCATCTCTACCATCTCTCGTCGTGTTGTCGTGGCTCCATCAGCCACAGCAACCCCTGTGTTGTTCGATGGAGTGCTACATCAACCCCCATCGTCCTCTTTTTGAGGAGCGTGTTCTTTCATCCCGGCTGAATACTCTCCCGAAGCTGAAGTCGCAGCTCTTGCACGAAAACACATAGTTGATTGAACCCACACTCACTCGCAACATCTGCGGAGAATCTCCATCCGAAAACGGTGGATCAGCAGTGGCAAGGACATGTTCACCACACCCCTTATTAGTGTAGAAGCCTGGCTGCTGCTGGGTCACACACTGAATAGTGCGACACGCAGAGTTTACACCTCACCCTATTGATCCATTGCATCTTCACAACTCTAACTGTTGTAACCTCTGGACGTGTACGAATCGTAACCTGTACACGTGGATGTGTTTCAATGTGTTCACATTGCTGTTGGTGTTGTTGTCGTCGATTTCGATTTCTTGACCTGTAAGCTTTTGACTACATATCGGCACCCCTGTTACAGGTGGACGTGTTCCCATGTGTTTATTATTGCTGTTGTCGTTGTTGTCATTTTTCTTTTTCATCCGTAGTGTAGCTGATCCAGACAACTCGTTTCCTCTGTCTGCGTTGACCGCTGAAAGTCTGCCTGTGTCCACCAAGAGGCTACTCGAGCTGGGCTGCTGCTGTTGCTAGCGTTTCAGCAATGAAAAGACGTCAGTCTTGTACTACTGCTGTAGCGGGATAAATAAAAAACGCAAACACACTCTCCAACGAACCTAGTCCTACTGACAGGGGGGGTGCAGGAATTGGCCGACAGCGGTGTTGTGTTTCTGGAGCACAAGGAGAAGACTCAATACTATCAGGCAGCTTTGTGCGCGTGTCGCAAGCGGTCCTCGCGACCACCCCGCCTATGCATCTGCCTACACAGCAGTAGCTCTTCCTAAGACACCTTTTCCACGTGGACCAACACTTTTGCGTTCTGACGTGTAACAAGCGAGCAGGCACGTGGCAGCACACAAATTCGATATAATAGAGCGGGGCAATACTCTGCATCCTACATGCGAGTAGGCACGATGGTGTGCGAACACAGAAGCTGCCCTGCTGCTGTGTGCAACTCTTTCAAAACCACCAAATCGTTGTGTTTTTATAAGAAGGGAAAAAGACACAACAACAAAAACACCTGCCCCGTTGTCGAACACGAGCAAGCGTTCTGGACAGGTAGGGTACTGCACGAGGCACTCTCGCGAGTCGACCCGAGCTTTTGTACATACTTGCGTAGCGTGAGAGCGACCGGGGTTTTGTTGTGACCAGTACTGTACTGCTGTACCACACCTGAGGGATGTAGATGCTATGTAACCACCTTTAAGAAGAGGCGCTGCTAATGATAGGCCAAGTATTGAGGCATTTTTCGTTGGGTAAGCACAAAGTACAGAGAAGCCCGAATGTTTTTTTTATCGAAAGAGTAACATACCGATGCACCAAAACAAAAAAAAATGCAATGGGTCAACGTCTCTATCGTCGTGTTGTTTTGTCCTTTTTTTTTCGCGTCCACAGACTTCGCAGCTGACCGGTACCGTGGACGACTGCTGCGTGGACTACAGCACGGTGGACACCGCGACGAAGAGCTCGTTCATGCCCCTCCTCACCAAGCTGCAGAAGAGGTGTGGCCCCCGCACAGCTAGCTGCCGCCAACCACGACGGCAGGAGATGCGTGCGACTACCGCTCTCAGAATTATCCGCTTTCCCACTATTCCCCCCCCTACGGAGCGAGTACAATTACGACACAAGATAACGCTCCCCCTGGACCGATTTTCATTCCTCGATTACGCCACGACGAAGAGGATGAATAATTAAAACGATACATTCTCGGAAAGCTCTTGACGAGACGGCTTGAACGCCACCGTTTTCGGCACCGTGACTCTTTCTGCTCTCTCTTCCCCCCTTTGCCGTGTCGACAACGACCTTTCTGACGAACGATTCAGAAAATTTCCCCTCACGCCTCTCCCCTCTGCCGCGTCGAAAACGAACAAACTTTCTGTCGAACGTTCCCAGAAATTTCTTCAAGTACTTCAAGGTTAACCTGGAGAAGGAGTGCCCCTTCTGGGAGGAGGACGGGCAGTGCATGATGAGGGACTGCTCGGTTTGCGAGTGCAGCCCCGAGGAGATCCCTAAGCCTTGGCTGGAGGAGGTAGGCCAGAGCTGTGACTTTTTTTTCCGTGTTTTGTTCTTGATGTGTGTCTCTGCCCTATTGGTCGTGGAGCAACCGATCGATCGGTCGAGCTATGCATTGTGTGAAGGTCGGTCTGAGAGGGGGTGCGACTACCGGCACAGTTGCGGCACAGCACTTCGTACAACTTTGGGTATATAGTATTATGAACAGTACTTTGTACTTTGTGCCAATGCTAGTACTAGAATATTTACGCACGAAGCGGCGGCTTTAACTCTTAGTTTCCCCCATGTCTGGTGGGGCAAAGGTATGCAACAATTTTTTCACAAAATAGCGGCTGAACCGGGACCCCCTACCCCCCTTACCGCATCCCCCATCACCCACCCCTGACCTGCCCGCGTTGCGACAGGATGAGAGGTCAAGCGCGAAGGGAGCGGTGGATGTACAACCGGGAGACGACTGCTCGGAACAGATCCGCAAGGAGAAAGCCTGCCAGGTGCGATGCAACCCCACACATCAAGGCTAACTTGTGTGGTATAACTCGCGGTGTTTATGTACACCTTGATGTTTCAGCGGGCAGCGTGGTTTATTGGACTCCCTGACAAGACTTTTTCTACTCGGAACCTTATTACATGTTTATCCATCCGTAAGGAGAGCCTCACAAGGAAAAGAGTTTTTTATGGTACAGTCATGGCTCCGATTTGAAAGGGTGGTGTGACAAAGGCGCTCGCCCTCTTATGCTGTACCCTCTTATGTCGGCGTCACGACTGTATTGGTTTCTGAAGGGGACAGATATGTCCATCTCACGTCCCGAGTGCATGTGAACGGTGCGGCTTTGAAGTACCAGATATGTTTTTCGCTAGCCTTACGGGAAACCATGGAACACAGCTTTGGCGGGAGAAGAATGAGATTGCGCAGTGCTGTTCATCACGACATGTACACCTACCGAGTACACGAGGCGGCATTTTAGACTATCGCATCACACCACCGCAATAGCACTACTTGCGCTCAGCGCACCTTGCACGCCACGTTCCACTTCGATGAAATCGTTTTAACCTTGTACGACCTTTGGCATTTTGATTGAGATACCTATACACCGCTCTTTTTTTATGGTATGGCACACTTCTTTCAAACCTTGTACTGTACTGCCTTTCCACCGCCGTTTCTTTGTATGGCGTGGCATCCATTGGTTTCAGGAGCACTCCGAGGCGGAAAGAGACTTCGGCAAGGTCGACCACAGCCAGAGCTCTCCCGCCGACGACTCGTTCAACCCTTGGTCGGAGGCGGCGGATGCGGCGGTGTGGTCACTGCAAGATGAGGGCGGGGAGGGGTTCGAGTACGTCAACCTCGACCTCAACCCGGAAAAGTTCACAGGGTAAATGATGGTTTTGGATGGTTGGGGGGAGAGGGGAGATCGATGTTTCTTTTGGGGGTGGGCGGGTGGGGCGTACTCATGTTTTGCACGCCTTAGTTGTTAGACCATTGGCCGGAGGGGGGGGGGTAGTTTTCTCGTGGTCCAGAGGGACTCTATTCTGTTCAGGTATGCCCTCATGTTTGTTGATGTGCGCACTCTTCGACCCGACCCCGCGAACGTCCTGCGGGCAAGCGTCCGATCGGGGGGCAGGTAGATGGGGCAGGAAGGACATAGTCGGATGTACTGCTTGCTTGTCGCGAGACTATTGTGTCAGAGGGGGGGGGTACTCATAATCATGCATGCCGGAATTGTTACACTATTGACGTCCCATCCCTACAAAACCGGGACGGAGCACGCCGGGTTCTCACCGGACCAGGCTCTCACATCACCAAGGCGCTTGGATGCTTGAGCGAATTAACGCAAGTGGGACGACCGTCCCCGCTTTTTCCTGGA